ACGGTTATTTTATTCGTCCTCGTTACATGTCCATTAACGTATCATTACGATGAGTTTGGTCAGCAACGCTTCGATGACTCCTGGATATGTGAGAAGAAATTCAATCCACAAGGTTAAACGCGATCTCCACACTCGCGATTATACGCCGCTGAGGATTAATATCTTATCTTAACCATTTCTCCTTGAGCATTAGTCGCATAAGTAATAATCTCAGGTTGAAATTGCATCGATGCACGTGCTTTAATCACCGCATTATAGTCGGAAGATCCGACACGGGTATCGCGTTTCCCCTTCGAATTAACTTACACCTGAGTGAGTCAGCGCGTCCACACTCCTATTTTCTATAACTTACGAGTATCTGCCGGAAGCATTCTACTCGCCGTTACTTTCCGCGTACTATTTATCACGCACGTTGATAAATAAAACAAGGATTCACGTTTCTCATGGCGGTTTGTATCCTCGTTACGTCACCGTCTTTATTCGGGAATAGAATGTATTGATACCTGTGTAAATAGCGTTCGGAGTACCCTTCCTGGTGCGCGCGATGCAATTAATCATGTCGAGCTTGAGATAAAGCGGATCCGATACGCCCGTCAGTCGCTTACTAATTACCGATAATAAACGCTGAGTTCATCAGAAATGAATTTGCGATCGCGACGCAGAGGCGCAGCTTCCATCGCTTCCGGAAATCTAGGCGAGGAAAGTTGCGGGCGATCTGTTCTAACTACTTCCTAGCGTGAAACACGAGAGAAACGTTCATCAGATCGGTGTCCGCGACCGATCTACATTACGTATACGGACATACGCATGCCAGGCGGGTGTGCACATGTGTATGTGTACATACGTGTAATGAAATCGAGAACGCGGCTGTTGAAGCGCAACCGGTCGTCCCAGGTCTTAGTTTTCTTTTCCTTTCGAAACTAACGCGTCACCTTCACCATGAAAGGAACCACTTGTTATCCTGCTCCTTGACGTTGTACGCGAGCTCTTACTGTTATATTTATCTATTTAGCTCAACCGGGACCGCTCTTACAAGTGTATATAGTAACGTTTTCCGCGAGCGTACACCGCGCTTTCAATAACTTCCTCCGATTTTTTACGTAAAACGTATTGGCGTACACAGACAGCGCGTTACGAGACCGCCGCTAATCGTAGATCGGTAATTGGCTCTCCCGCTTGCATGATTGATCCCACGCGGCGAGGTTCTTTCATCCTCTAAAAACCCACAGCTAGTCAAGTAAAGTGGATATTGCTTATTAATCATCTCCCGCCGTCAAATTGTACTCGGCGTAAAATTGAGCGATTGTGGATCTTGGCGGTAAATAATTATTATGCTGTTGCGTAATATATTGAAGATTATTCCTTTCGTAAAATTGTAAAAGAATAATTGAATATTATACCGAAAATTTCTTTAGTTGCGTACAGTTTTTTAAAATCTTTATCAGCAACAACATTTACAATTAGTATTTAATTAGTACCTTTTTTAAATATTTTTTCTTTGTACTTTGATTTTAACCGAGTACTTCATATCTCTAGATGAGATAACAATTTACAGTGTCAACCGCAAAAACATCGCGGTAATGATCGAAATAGGAGACACGAGAAGTACGCGCGCGCGCGGAGAAGCAGGACGTATGCTTATTGAGCGCGGCGAACGCGGATTTGCGCGGCGCGGCGCAACGATTCTTCCTTTCTCCGGGCCCCAGCTTCGCGCGGGGGCCTCACTTAGACGAGGCGTGGTGCGCCGTGGTCGATCGCTCCCAACTGGATCGGGCCACGGACCGAATGTGTCCGTGCCTCTCACTGTATGTGACTGGCATGCCACAACGTTGATTACAGAGCCCTACCTCAGCGTCACGATTTTCCTCCAACCCGAACCAGATGGAGGAGTCATTAGCCTGTACACGCTTTCAATGGTCCGGACAGTTGCGAGCGCGTATACCGTGGCCGACGATAATGACGACGTTGCAAGTCTCCTCGTCGATTTCGTCGGTACCCGACCGCGCGGCGCGCAATCCTCCGCACGGGTCCGATAATCGCGAATCGGTTTTGTACCGCCGACCGACGACCTTTTCCTATTTTCAGGGAGAAACGCTTGGAAACGGGTACGCAATTTCGTTTCCCCTCAATCGTCGGTTAGATAATCAAACGGTTCGTCTCGATTCTCTAATGATCGGGGATCGTCCTAAAAATCCAGAACCCGGAAGAATCGATTCGCGAACTTTGGGAGCAACTGTAAAGCTTCGAGGGCGACAGTGCCTGCTTTGTACCCGATGGTAGCGACGGAAAGTTACGAGTTTCGCTCTACTCATAAAAATTCTGCGTACCTATTGCTTCTTCCTCTCTCTCTCTTCGCTTCACCGATTTAACCGATTGGTTCGCAGAAGGTGACGAAAATACGGGTGGGATTCAGAATTGCACCTCTGAATAGCTAATCGTCTCATTACAGTTCCCGCGAACTTTGCGCTCGCAATTGAATTCGCGACTGCGAGCTCTCTGGCTGAGCAATCGGTGAGATATGAGAGACAACTTTCGCATACTTGCCACGCTTGCGACACCACTGTCCCATTTGTCATGTGTGCGCCGAATTAAGTCCGACGGGTGTTTCGTCAGCGCGCTGCGTCGTCGTCGTCGTCGTCGACGCGAAGAAAGGCGCCCGACATTTTATCACGGGGTCGACTTGGAAATTAATCGGCGCACGCCCAGGAGAGCACGCTGCAGCCATACCGTATCGCTCGAAAGTTCCAGGACGACGTGCCTTCTCGTCCCAAGGACGGATCGTGTGCTAATGCGCAATCGTCGAATATTCCCGATCGGGTCATCGCGAAGTCGAGCGAATCGATCTTATCGGCGCTCGACCGGCGCGCGGAGCGCCATTTCAAGGAGCGAACAGTATCGCGTGGGATCTAACGACTACCTCGTATATCCGCGTCCGGATATATTCTCTTCGTTATTGTCTATGAACGGTGTGCTGACAGTAAAAACAAAGATCCGTTTTACGGCGACGATAAAAATTTTAAAGGCAATTGATTATGTACGCTGATTATGTACGCATTATTAACAACATTAATTGAAGCGGTCGGAGATACGAATCTATAGAATGCCTGAGAAAGTAAAAGGCTCATTAATTCTCCACGCATCATTATATAAAAATGCTAGACCTGCTTTCGTGGCACTTTCGATTGACCCAATCGTCCACACGGCAATCGAAGAATAATAGGGCTTTTTTTTCCTCGCGCGCCTATCTTTTATATTATTGTATTCAGCGAGAGCTTACACGGCGTTTCCTGTGGGTCGTCGCTAGGTGTGGTTACCGCCGCCTGTCTTTTGTGTGTGCGCGCGCGCGTGTTTTGCTCTCGACTTGGTTCAAGGAGATCCAGAAGCGGCCGGCAACGACGGCGAAACATGCGCGCCGAGTTACGTTACGACGCTCTGAATCTGAATCTCTTTCTCTCTCACGGTAGGCAGCGCGCCGGCCGCGGCCGCGCGCGCTCCTGCGCCTCGCCCCGTATTCGGGTCAGCCGAGTAGTAGAAATTACGTAACACGTGTGCGCCGGGGCGGTTCCCACCGAGTGCCGCCTTACCGGAAGTCGAGACCACGTTTTGTCAGAGGACGCACGGTCAGCCTCGCGAGAAAAAACGCACGAGCGTTTCGTATTCTGTATGCAGGATACGGCGAATGTCGAACTGGGAAATATCGAAAGACTGTTTAAACAATGACTCATGACGCATAGAACGATAAGAAAAGGAATCTCGTTACATAAATCACGCAGTACATATTTCTGTTTTAATGAATTTGCGAAGTATTATTACATTGTTCATTCCCAACTTCATTAAATACATATATCTTTGTGATCTTTGCTCGTAGAGAATTGGATATTAATACAATGGCAATTATTAATTTATATAGTATCTGCATAAAGATCAGATTCGATTCGTAAGATCAGATAACCAACCAGTAATTCGTAAAGGAATTTGAAGCATTCGCGGTCGCAAAATTCACATTCTAGGCGGAATCTATCGCAACAGACACAGTCGTGGAATCAGAGCAAATCCAGATGTAATCTAGCAGGCTCGAAAACCTTTTACGACGTCGACCACGGCCGTACACACCGCTCGTGCTCTCCGTACTCGCGTTTAACAGCGAAGCCGAGCATTCGGTCGCATTCGTGCGATAAGGAATTTTGCGCGCATACCGCACGAGTGTTCACTGATCCGCGAAACACGCTCTCTCCTCGCTCCATCTTCTGCTTCCTATTGACTATAAGCGTACCTCCTTAACGCGAATCCGACTTCATGCTTGGAAACCAGACTAGTCGGCTAGGCCCATATCCATTCCGCCTCGAGTGGCTCCAACAATTTCGATTACGCTTCTCGCGTGACGCGATAAAACCATGTACTTCCCCCCTTCGCTGCGGGTAAAAGATCGCGAGAGTCTGACAAGTATCGTACATTTCTACTTAACGCCACTCGATAGCGTGTTATTAAGTTTCTCGACGCACATGAATGCCGATGTGAAATATCAGAATTCTTGAATTCTTCTATTATTTCGTAAATTTATTTCTCTGTAAAAAGTCACGTAACTATATTACATTAATTAAATAACATGTATATTTCAAAAGATTTTAATTAATTTTTTCGAATAGTTAGAAAGTAGAAATTGTGCGTTAGGGTACAATATAGGTATATTGTTTTCTTGAATAAATTGAGAAATTTTAGAAAACAGATATTCATTGCTTAACAATTAGTATCTAGATTTTAGCCGATAATTTAACCGTAAAAATTTACAAATCACGATTTTCACTTTAAAAAAACCGTCTATCCTGCTTCCCGTTTTCACTTCGCGAAACTTTTCTAAAAATTTCAATCCGACAAGAGCTCCGGCCACTTTCTTCCGTGCGCAACACGCGTAACGTCGTATCAACACGTTAATGATCATATCCCCGTACCGATCGCACAGCGTGTGTTGTCTACCATAGTAAATTTTTCTTTATTACCAGGTAATCCCGGCATGTCTGCTCGCCCTAACGGAAGCGCGGCGAGTGCAGATCCGGCCTCGCGTAACGGAGCCTCAAGTGTACTACGAGGAACAGGACAACCAGGCCGCAGAGGACGAATTCGATACCGTGGCGGTTTATCACCCGCGCACCCGCGCCCTTCCTTCGCCACGATCCAAGGATGCGCTGCACGGGTCGAAGCCGCCGCCGGTGCAGACTATTAGGAACTACAATAAAGTTAACGACGACGGGTCCTTCACCTTCGGCTACGAGGCGGCCGACGGTTCTTTCAAGGAGGAGACCCGCGGCACCGACTGCGTAGTGCGCGGTAAATACGGCTACATCGATCCGGACGGTAATAAGAGAGAGTTCACCTATGTCTCGGGAAATCCCTGCGATCCAAACGCGCCGAAGGATGAAGAAGAAGAGGAGGAAAAGGAGGAAGAGGAGCTCCCGGGGCCGGCGAATTATCCCGTCGTCAGACCCATACCCCGACCTGTCTCAGTGAGACCCACGTATCATCAGCCGACCACTACTCGTCAACCTACCACGATATTCCAGACCGAGTACCAGCTCGACGACGACGCCAGCCAGGAGCTGACCGAGGATGATCTGAAACCGCAACTGCGACCGTCAGCCTTTAGAAGACCCTCGACCATAGTGCAAGTCACCCCCTCCTCCGCCATTTACGAATCTTCGCAGTCCGCCAGTCCGTCTCTTTTTAGGCTAGCTTCCACCCCCCAGTATACCACTGCGGCGCCTGTTCTCCGTAGCCAGCCCACGGTCACTTCGTCCGTCTACCAGTCGCTCGAGACCACCACTCGCCGGCCGGTGTCCCGTCATCCCAGGCCCCAATCGGTCGCGATAACCCCACGACCCCACGTCGCCCAAGTAGCCGCGCAATACGTCTCCCCTAGTAGCACCGAACGTCCCAGCAGTCTGCTCTACGCCCAGACCCACCCCACGATATCGCCATTGCGCACCACGACCGCCGCTAGTGCGCCCCACCTCGACTTCGCTGCCGAGCTCGAGCGTTACGTGAACACGGTCGGCTCACACGTGTCCGCCGCCCCCGTTGCGAGGCCCCAGACCGCCCAAGCATCGCCCCAAACCAACTCGAGAGTTAAGCTGACCGGTCAGACGTCGGTCACCGCCGGTTCCGCAGCCGCTGAACCCATCTACCAATCGGAGCTCGTGTACGATCCCGCGACCGGTCAGTACAATACCCAGCTTTATCAGACATTACCCCAAACCGTGGGTGACTTTAGCCTCAGTCACAAACTCCAACCGTTCGTAGCCCAGCCCCAGTCCCTAATCGGCCTGCAGCAGCTCCAGCAGTACCAGCAATCCCAGCAATCCCAGCGTCCGGTCTATAAGCAGGCCCAGTCGGCGCCCAGTCCGACCGTAGCCCAGCCTCAGGAGGTCCTCTACAGGAAGCAGCAGGCGCAGCTGCTGCAGCAGTCCCAGCAGCTCTACGCGCAGCAACAACGCCGCCAGCAACAGCAGCAACAACCACACAGGCTCCAGCTGCTGGAGTCGCAGAGAGAACCCCAGGCGTTCTATTACGTCGCACCCCTGAAGGCCTCCGCCGCCACCTCGTCCCTTTCAGTAGGTCAGATCGATCAGTTTCTCCGAGGTAGCGGCGCTAATAACTACTGATGTAATCTGAGTTGCGATTCTTAAAAGAGATCTCCCTCGGATCCTCGAATCGCCCCTCGTCGATATTTATCACTCGGTATCGCCTCGAGCGTTCCTCGCGAATTAAATCCTCCGCTGAGGATCTTGCGCCGATCACAGGTCATAATGTCGGCCCGTGCGTACACAGAGGGTATTACATATAAGTACATGCATTATATATAAAGTATATATCTCACGTGGTGGCGCCAAAGCTGGGATATGTCAAATATATCGCCGAGTGAATGGCACACACGAGCGCTTCGATTGCATGCGTTGTACGCGGGGAATGCGTGTGCAGTAAATATTTAATATAATCCGCGCGACGACGCGCGAGAAAGGCGCGCGGCGAGCATAGTTGCGATGAAAAGTATCGGCGATAATAAAAGGCCGCGGATTTTTACCGTCGCGGATTTTACCGTGTATTGCAGGAAACGCGAAACTTTCCAAGAAAACATATTCAAGGTTCATTATTACGAACGGATCTTGCGGTCTTACCGTAATTTTCAACTTTGCAGTAATGCGAGACTTTCCGAATTACCGTATTCCCGATAGGCGCGCTTTCATGCCTCGATATGTCCGTATGTAATTGTATATAGCGCTCGCTTTTCCGTCCAATGCGTGTCTCAAAGCGTTCTTGCGCCTATCCGCTCGTCTCGGCTAGCGCGCGAACGTAACATTATCCGTCGACGACGCAATCGGAGAACGAAGGTTAAAGAGATTAAAGTATGTGATAATGGATGGAGGAACCGCGCGCGTACGATTACATGGATAATGTAACTCGTAACAATAACGGAGAGCCAAGTGGCAAAACGTGATACGTGACAAAAAATTTAAATCCTCTTAGATAATCATATCTTTATGTTTTTTTTTCTCCATAATTTCCAGTTGAATAATCTCGTCGTAAATCTTCATTCCGTCCGAACACATAACGAGGAAAGAATTATTCGAGCGAGTTCCAGCGTCGTTTCGCTAACTGACAACTTGTTGAAACAATGCGTTCATTAAGAATAGTGAAATTTTATTTATTCGCGCGTCGAGAGTTGACACCGAATGAGGTTCCTTCCGTTTTCTCAGGCCGATTCCGAGAACACCTCTCTTTCCACTCGAGTATCGTGCATTTATGAGGCATGTTAGAGAGTGAAAGCCAACGACCTGACGCAATACTCACGCACGCATGTACGATGTATTACCGTGGCAATTTCTCGCAGATCCCTAACACCGGCACTGTCGTAAAGGTATATCCACGAAGGTTCACGATACAAACGGAACACTTCGTCGCGCGGCCGCGCGGACCTTTTATTCACGACCCCGTAAGCCCAAGCCACGTAATAATGCTCGACTCGATTACAAAACGTCGATCCAGTGCAACATCGAGTCGCATGAAAGGCGAGTGAAACGCGATCAAGCAAAAGGGGATAATTAGTCGAATCAAAACCGTCGGTGTTTCGAGATACTTTCGATTAGGCATACAATGTTGCACATCCATACCTATTGTATCATATAATGCATAGAATGCATTGTATGATATAATAGGATGCAGTTAATTCTTCAATCTCGTCTATCCTAATCTTTCTCAAGATTTTCAAAACTCCAACCATGTGTGCATAAAATGTTAAGAAATAAATCGTATGTCACTAGATTTTATATTTTTTAAATTAAAAAATAATTCGAAATCTAATAAATGAAAATATTTTGAATTTTTGTTTAATTTAATTTAAAATTATCATGTAGATCTCTATTTTTAAATAACGTAACATTTCGTGACAATCGCGATGAAAGCTTCTCCGTTTGATTTAAACTTCGTAACGTTTCTAATATTTTCGAGCAGAGATCATCGCATCGAAATTCCCAGGCTTGTCTACTTCGTTGCGTCTATACGAATTCCGCGATGCAAACGTATCGCTCGCGTTTCAACTGGGTAGTAATTCCGATATTCGATACGCGCGGACCTCGGGTAGGAAGTGTACTCGGCCTTTTGCAATGTAGAGAATTTTGCAAGCCTGCCGCGAGTAGGGTTCACCGCGAATCGACCGTCAAGGAAACTGCAATACATTCTTATCGGCGTAGCCGGGTTTGTAGGGACAACATTCTATTCGCGCCGTAACCGTCGCGGACTTTCTATTTGCATTCTCTGTCACAAGTGTGAGAATCGATTCGAGTTTAATGCGTTCCGCGGCGTCGACTGTTCAAGCCCGCGGAAATATATGTATATCAAATCCGGGAAGGAAACGGCGCGCGGCGGTAGGTCGCGCACGCGATGAAATCACTTTTACCACGCGAGATACCGCAGCCATTAATAAAAACCAGTATAAAGTTTCTCGGATATACATCCTATATCATTACAGATTTAATGGATCTAATTTTCCTTCAACAAAAAATCTTAACAAGAGATTGTTATACAATAATTATTAAAATTGCAACGTCTCGAATACATTAACATTTAATTCTCAAACTAGACATTTAAAGCGAAACTTACTTAAAATTAATAGGAAAATGATTTCATCAGTAATTCAATTATCAAGAGCTATAATTAACAGCGCCATTACAATTCGTCTTCCTGTAAAACGCAATTCGATGCACATTTCTTGAAGAGATTCATGTACCACCGTAAGGAGATACATTTTAACCGATTTCGTGGTTTTAATCGCAATCACGTCGTTGCTATAATGGGCTCAGAGCGGCGGTTGTCTACTCATACTGTAAATAATACTCGTTAGCGTTAAAATGCATAGCGACTACTTAGCAATTCATACGCATAATTAATGATACGACAATTGCGCATAAATCTTCGTAAAGAAGAGTCTTACGTTTACAGTTGTTTTCTTTTTGTATTATTTGTAAGCATAATCGAAAGAAAAATATCATTGCGAAAATGTGCTGCGCTGTCATTTCATTTTCCCCGAGTCCTCAGTGTCATTCACTTTCGCTCCATTGGAATATGAATCGCGAAACGGAAATATCAGTATGTACGAATGGAGATTGAAACAGGCGTGTCGAATGTTTGTTTATGATAAAATCACGGCGTGGTAAACATTCGTAACGTATTATAACTTGTAACTGTAGGTACTTCATTTCCGCGTTCCTTTATAAATCTGCACTTTATTGGAAGGAGAAAACATGCGAATGACGTCTGTAATAATCAAATTCGTTACGTACGTTGTAATGTGGCGTCCTGATGTCATTTATATTTTATTATGAAACAAAGAAAGTGTGAAGACAGACTTTTATTAATTATCTCGCCATTAAAGCCACGTTATGTTGATTTAATGTAAGATTATTAATTAAAGCTTGTTTATTTAAAAAGCCACATTATGTTAATTAAGAAAGTAAGCTGATTCTCACAGATAACAATTATACTAACTCTCTCTCCCTCTCTAGTTTAATAGAAATTACGAACGCTATAAATTCTCCTGCATCTGTGCGGGTGAAATATTACCTCGCACGACTTGATGGCCCCAAGGTGTTGCTGGACATGCGAACGTGCGATTTTTACGGGGCGAGAATAACGGGCCGACGCGACGCCCGGCGGCATGTCGTTTTTCGTTTCGTGCCGCGGCTGAATCACGCGCGGTAGACGCTTCCGCGAGAAGAAATTGGAAAAGTGGGAAAGGCGGCGCGAGGCGGCATCGTCGTGCACGATGTATATAAACGTTGTTACGTCACGAACGACTGCTACGTGCTATCCACCTGCGGCGTTTTCTCCGCTCCGATTATGAACCACGTGCCGCTGTGAAATCGCAATCGGCGGCGTATGCCCATAAAAAATGAAGACAAAATTATCCCGCAGCGCGCAGTAACGTCTCACGAGCGATCCCGCCTTGAAAAGATGGTTTTGCAAAAATAGCCATCTTAATTGCGATTTTCCAAGTCGCTGCTGCGAGAGTGCTTCTTATTATCGCGCATCACGTTCTACTTAACTTATCTCTATTCGCGGCTCAAAAGAACTGTTCCTGAAAAGGTTAAATGAATCTCATATGTATTGGGTTGCATCTCGTATTCTCGTCACTTTTGCGTATCCAATCAACGTCGATATGCATATAATGACCATGTACGACGTTAGCCTCGCTTGAAAGGTAATCTTTTAATGAAATGTCAATTCCGATGAAACATTTCGTACGCAGGATTTGCAACGCTTTCGTAAATGTCGTTAATAATAAATTTAAGATTTTTACGGTAAACCTCGAATGTATTAATAAACAACGAAATTAGTAATTTAATAAACAAGGATATGCATTATGCGCGTCGTATATATATTCAATTTTGCGGTAAAAGTGGATTGTGAGCGCTTAGGTGAAAGTCATCGAAAATGAAAGGGTCGAGTGAAGTGTTAAATCAAACCACGCCAGACAGCTTGTACACGTGTTTGTGTGTATGTGTGTGAATGACCGTTGCTAAATATATTATCTAAGTTTTGAAACGTGCGCACGTGAATACAATCGCGAAAGTAAATTGGATCGATGATTTATTTTCGACGCTACGTCGTAGAAGATGTATCATATTCTATTAGCTGACTCGTGCAACAGCTGAACTTCGCGTTGCAAAATCTAGGAACAAGGCTGCCCACTTTTTATTCATATAATCGATGTGCGATTAATTAAAAATAGATAATTTGCATAGTAGTATCGGGAACGGTCGCTCTTATTTTTTATTACTTCATTACTTCACGCCGAAATCTTTGGATTGCACACTAACGAGAGATACAACCTTGAACTCGGTTCCAGTGGACCGTATAATACTATAGGTCACGGTTTATTTATGATTTTGTGGTTAACGCAAGCCACAGATCGTTAGCGAAAGTTACACTGCTTTCTAAACACGCTCTCTATTTTACCGGTAAAAGATGAACGAGACAATAACAGCTGTCATTTAACGAACAACTGTGTATCTACGCAATCGCACGTTTTAGACTTCTATAAGAATCCGTATAAGTATTGCCGCAACTGTGTAATTGCCATAAGTGATATCGTCATGTGTTAAACGTGATCAATTAACAAAAGCATAAAAATCTATACTGAAAACTCTTCGACAGGAAATGGATTAACGTACATTATATACTTCAAGATTGAACAATTGTATTTATTTTACACAAGAAAATTATAAAGAACATTGTAAAAAGATTATTAAAAATTAGGAAGAATGTAAAAAAATAAAAATATACGATTTTATATAAGTTATTAATAAATAAGTATACCTTAAGAAATTCCTAATACGTTGTTTGACATTCGCGCGGTGGAAAAAATGGATAACTGCTTGAAATGTAAATAGCCGGACAGGTAGATGGAAATGTCATTAGTTATTGTCATTAGTTATTGTCAACGCCATTCAATCACGCGGAACGGACCATGCACAGGATGACGGTCATGCGCAACATCCTCTACTCTATCCTATACGATAAACGTCAGAAGAATGTGACAACCATTCTGTTTTTGCCACTCTCACGGCGGATATAAATACGTAGATTGACATAACTTAACGGCGGTAGTTTATATGTCATTTAGATGCGCTACGCGCCTGATGCGATTACTAGTAAGCTAGCTCGCGAGAGAACCGGTAACAAAGATGACAATTGCGGCCCACACACTGCACGGACGCGCGCACACATATATACGCAAAATCCTCTGAAGTAATCTAATTATAATAATTTCGTTGTAGAATTTCGCTTGCATTATATGCGAAGTCAGTTTCTTACTTACGCGTTCGCGAATAGACAAACAATATGATTCCTAATGACGATAATATTAATATACCTCGTTATCTATGAAAAATCTGTCGTAATTAAGTTATACGATATCCCATCGCTTAGCACGTAACTCAACACAGATATAAGCATGCAATTTATATGTGGTAAAAAAACAGCTAATTAAACTAGCAATCTAAAATTTTCCTAAAGTATGTAGATATTTTATTTTTATGGTACATTATGTGTGTGTATATTTATTAATCAAATCATTGTCTTGAAAAATTTGACATAGGAAAAATATTTGATACATGTTTTTATTCCTTATATTTAAATTTGATTTTTATTTTCTAAAATTATAGTCTTCCTCCCTTTTTGAGGAGAACTGTTTTTAGATATTTATTTTGTGTTTCGATATCGATAAATATTTTTATAAGAAGAGTTAATGTTCTTTTTGCTTTTATAGCATAGTTCCTGATGCATTTCACTACGCCATGCAACCTCGCATGCAACGCCGTACGAAAGGCAGTATATCCGAGGCGTTGCACATTATATATGACATCAATGAGTCACATACTAACACACAACTAGTTCATTACTGATGATAAAATATGTATTCAGGATGGGAAACATTTTGCGATGACTTAGTACTCCTTCGGAAATAATGAGCCGGCAGATTATAAAAGGACTGCACGCACGATAAAATGAGATAGTAAGATTAATTCTCAGATGTTTGTATTTTGTTATGCCATCCAACTGATGTTTTACACTTTTCCTAGAAACGCAAAGAATAAAGTTTGAAATTGCAATGTTTAATCAAATATATTTAAAATAAAAGATACGCTTTCTTAAATAAGTTCTTTATGCTGTGATTATTAAGAATTCTTAATTTTTTTATAAATAATTATTACATAAATGAATTTATCAAAAATTTAAAATTAATTGCATTTCATAAATTCGTATTCTAATATTTGTGTCACGTAGCAAATTATCCGATTACATATTAAGACGTTTCGCAATATCCACTCGTGATACCGTTTTAGCACACGCGAATAACATATTTCCGCAACAAAAAACAGCACGGCCTCGGATTTTCGGCTACCGGTTGCTGAAAACGGAACATGGACCTATGGTTTCCACGGGCATAATGTGAGAATATGTAACGAAAGTAGGTGTGTCAGTCGAAATATAACTGAGATAATGTGTAACCGGTAGTTGCGTTACGATTAACTTCGTACCCACTTTCTTTGGAAGAAACTAATCACACGATTGTCTAGCTATTGTAGCGCATGGAAGTAGATATTAAAAGATTATAATCAATAAAACAAAACTACTCAGATATATTATGATTAGAAATTAAAGAAAGAAAATGCTTTGTAACTTGAACATCAAAAATTAAATAAAAGATAGTTAATAGCAGTTTTGGACTAAGCAACATACTAAGAGTTGACTTTTTCTTAGCAAAAACTCGTCGGGAAGTCTAATTACCGTTATACAACGTTGAGAATTGCAGTGTTTTGGTGAATTAAGCATCAAAAGCGTAAACAGATAACAAGATCTAATTTTTCATTCAATTTCAAGCAAATTTTCCTCCGATAGAAATTTAATTTCTATTACGAAACCAACAACATCACGAATGATCACGAATGACCAATCAATAAAGTCATTTCTATGAAATCATATAATTTTAATGATAATATTATGTTCATAAGATTGTTAAGTGTAAAAATGTTAAGAAAAATTGATTCCATTGTAAAATATTTAGTAACTAAGAGAAAGTATTAGTGTCTCCCGATGTACACCGTACACTTTTCCCGGATATCCTGCATATTTTAATTATTTAGATTTCAATAGGTCCGCCGACCGCGCGTTTGCGTTCGCGGGCCCCCGAGGTAGTAAAGGCCCCGACGAGAGACAATGATCCTCCGCGGAGGAAACGTGCGACGCGAGGCGAGATAGACAGCCGATACGTCTACGAACGCGAGGCATATCAAGGTGGCATCAAAAAAGTGAATACGAAACCCGGAGGAAATTGCATGATGTAATAATTGTCCTGTGGGAGTGCCTAGAGTGGAGCGAATACCACAATACCGGTGTTGCACACTATGGGAACTATTGTTACAGATTTTACAGTCTACTACTGTGTGCTTCTTGCCCGGCCGTCAACTCCCACGTGGCTTTCACTTGTCCCCGCGAAGCCAAACTTCTTCGTATGTTCCATTCTGTCAGGACATCGCGCTCATTCCCCCCCCCCCCGCGGTAAACGCGTTTCCGCTCCTTTACGCGGCCGTTATCGGTGCACTTTCTTCGGGGCCTCGCAAGCTATGTGATTTTTTTTCAGACTTTCAACAGTCTCTAGAGTCTAAGGCCGCGATTGTAAATATTTAAGAAAATAAATAAATAAAATGTATAGTTTGTGAAATCATCATTTTATGTCAGTATGGAACCGACAACTCATATATATACCTACTTTAATAAAGAAAGGAAACATTTATCTTACAGAATTAGAGCAACTTGTGAGCGAGATGTAAAACATAAACGCTAATCAATGAATTTGTTTAAGGAAGACAGAAAGAGCAGCTGCTCTTCAACTTCGCACAGCAGTCAATCACCCGGTGACTTTTCCCGTCTTCGAGTCGTTAGAGTAATTCTATCTTGGGCAATTTCGCGCAACGAAAGAACGTGTAATCGAGATGAGCAAACACCAACCGCGGGCCTTCATTATCGTGTACTTTCTGCGCGCGCGACGCGCTTTGCGTTTTTTTTTTTACTAGCAGGGAGAGGAGTTGTCATTTGGTATTCCAACGCCTTAATGAACGTTTAGGGGTCATCAAGGTTGAACGTGGCGGCTCGACGCGGCGCGCCGTGGAAGGGGCGCGGCGGTGGTTGCCTATTGTGTCACCCTATATATAACGGCACCCGACACCCCACGCCGTATTAAGAACATTCACCGCATCCGCGGTAACATGGTTTCCAGTTCCAACAAGGTATATCGCCGAGTATTCCGTGCTGGCGCGAGTGCACGAGTAACGCGTTCATGGTGCCCGCGATCCGCGCAAGCGAGAGAAAGAGAGGAGAGAGAGAGAGAAAACGAGATCGATTTCAGTCGCTATCAATCTAAATGCAAGTGTTCGGTCTAAACGTTCCGGCGATTTTTTTTTTCGCGAAACCGATATTGGTGCTCGTGGGAAAGTGCGCGCCTTGGCGAACGATTGCACGCGATGTTTCGCCCATACGTCCTCAAGATTTATTCCGAGAAAACGTTTTAGAACGCGAAATGCTGTAAAGTGACAAGTGCATCATTATGTGAACGTGAACGCGTATTATGAAAGTATTTTATTTGGAATATATAAGCGTCGAATAAATTAAAAACACGCAAAGTCCATCGCGCAGAAATATAAGTTTGTCATTTCAGAATTCGTGTATCCAACGATTTGTTACAATTTTTGGCACTCATTTTTCGTGATAATAATGATACACCATTGTGCGTCATGTCTATTTCGCATTACTGCGTTTTTCTTCATAGAGAAAAATCGTCTTTCCTTTTAAGATGACGCCATGGCTGATGGCATTCTTCTGTCTGGTGACTGCCGGCTGCTCGAACGTCACGGACCAGCAACCATCGGAAACGCATCATGATCATCAAGTGGCGATCTTGAAGCAGATCAGAAAGGTGAACGAAGACGGCTCTTATACATACGGTTACGAAGCCGGCGATGGATCATTCAAGGTAATTACGTGCATAACTACTTAAGCGTGGCGTAAACCGCGCCTGACGCCTATTTTTCCAAGAATTATAAACTGCATCGCACAATAGGTTCCCACAATATCGGATATTAATTAATCAGAAGGGTTCTTTTCATTTCTAATTATATTTAAAGTAGCGATTACTTGCTGAGCGAGTAATGCTAATGGCCATATTAATCACATATTAAATAACAATAACAATATTAATAGTGTAACTTCAATAAAAATCTAATTGTCTTTGTCATAATTAAAAATTTATATCTACGTACTATATAATCTTATTTATGCTTTTATCTATATATTATAATCTATTTTATTTATAAAATTTTTAATGTTATTTAAATTAAACTAATAAATGGAGCAAATAATATACGATTGTTTAAATTATCATTCGACTTTGGAAATATATTATTTAAATAGATTTTAATTATAAAAGATATAGTTTAATTATATTTATTAAATATTATGTATATAAAATAAAAATATTTATATATACATATAACTTATATATAAATAAAATTATTTTATAAAAATATTTTTATTTTTTACAATCCTAATTGACAATAGAAAGATAAATTTATTTGTTCAAGATTTACAGTTAGATTCGCGCTATTTTCGTGAAGAACTGAACGGAAAATACTTGCTTTGTCAGGTCGAGAGTCGCGATGTTTTGGGCAACATTAAAGGCACGTTCGGTTTCGTCGACGCCGACGGCGAGATAAAGAGGGTCTCGTACTCGTCGTCGAACGGGACGGGCTTTAAAGCAACCACCATGTCGCCATTGCAGGAACACGTATCGGTCGTGCAAAGTATACCGCGTCTCAACCGTACGTTATCAACTACGAGAAAACCGAACATCGTGTACGCCACGACGACGGAATCGTCGACCAGGCCATCGGTCGTGCAGTCGATTCCTCGAACGAGGAAGACGACTACCAGTACCACCACGACCACAAGCACCACTACTACCGAGGCACCGAAAACGATATTCGGACACTACTTGAAAGGCACGTCGAAGAGCAGGCCGCGTTTCGTCATCAATGGCCAACAGAGACCGATCGTCATAGAGGAAGACACCGAAGACGAAGATTCGCAGATCAATCGACCTAGTACGGATGACAAGAGCGGCGCCTACCGAAGAATCATCTTTGCCAAGCGACCGATCGAGCATAGTCTCCCGCCGATCTCTGAAGACTTCGTAGAGAAGGAGGACGAGGCTAAAATCACGACGGGGAATACTTTGAGGAGGCAATTGCACGACGAGACCACCAAGTCGAGTTCCATTGCCGATGACGGCGACGATCACTCCGACGTTTATGGTGGTTCCTTGTCCACGACGCGTCCTTTGTTCACCACGTCGGCTCCGTCGCGAGTCCTCCAGAGAGTTTCCAGTACTTCGCGCCCAGAACGGCCAAAGTTCTACGTCAATCGTCAGGAGAACTTGGGAGCGGGTGGTCGATTCGACAGTCCGAAGTACGAAGGTTCTCGGGTCTACGAGACGGAGACGAAGCCCACCCAGGAGGAGCGCACGACGACCCAACAACAGATCCTGCTTCGCAGTTCTACGGCCAGGGTACCGACGGAGACCCGGGACTACGTCAGACAGAGCACCGAGCCTGTCTTCGTGAGACAGCAATCTGATCAGTATCTGCGGGAACTGCCGCCAAGAATACTCGTCCAGTCTCAACAGGGCAATCTCGAGGACGACGAAGGTGTCTATCGAGCGATACCGATCGGCAGGATCTTGTTACCTCGGCCTCCGCCGAATCACCAGCCGGTCTACTCGAGCACGACGGACGCCAATGTTCATTACCTGACGGAGAATCCCGTGCCCGATCCCGAGGATGAGGCGCGGATCGCAATGAACATGAATTACATGCGTCCGCGTCCCGTGCGGCCGCTGATCTATCCGGATCCCGAGCAGAGAGCACGGCCAATTCTACGGCCGATTCCGAGTGCGGCAGTTCATCCTGACGACAGAGACTATCAGGCGACCACGCCCGAGTATCCTTACCGAGCTGGCGGCCTGGCGCTGCCTCCGGAGCCGCCAAATCCGATCGCGCCGCCTCTGAGCCGACGAGACTTTCAGATGTTGCTGAGGAGGCTACTGGTGAGCCAATACGGCGTGCAAGCCCTGTCATACCCGAAGAGCTTCCTTGAAGACGCCCTGTACGACCAGCAGCCGTATTCTTCGTACCCGGCGGGCTATCAGGCGCCACTTCCCAGACCCGAGCTCGCGTACGATCAACAGGCGCAGTACGGCGATCGAGTGTCTCTGAGACGCCCGGTGTACCCCCGGGCTCTGAGCCCGCTCTATCATCCTCAATATGACGATTATCACGACAGATATCCCAAGAGAGTGTACAGGCAGAAATTCTACACGCAGGACGTAGCCGACGAAGCCGATGAGATTCTACCGGCACCCATTAGGGAAGCTTTACTGCTGCGAATGGTGAACCTAGCGATCAACACCGAACGATCGACGATGGTTCCGACAACCGTGTTGACTACTACGACGCCGGCATCGAGATACAGAAAGACGGGTCCGGTTAGGAGCGTGCAGATTATTACGGACGACGAGGAAGAAAAGGACATGAGGAAGAAGATGTAACGACGACGAATGGAGTTAGAAATAGTTAGGAATTACGAAGAAGTATTACTCACTTCAAGTATAATATATATATATATGAGTTAAATTATTGTAGAATTTTAACTAATTGTTACGACTTTTTTTACAAGATGAGAGAAACTCGACGGAAGTTAACGAATTTGCTTTCGGCAATATATTTTTAGATATGTCATCCCTAATATCATTATCAATTATCCCGGAACGATATCGAATTCTCACGATAGCATATTTAAGTATGACGAAGCGGCTTACGTCAACGATAACCTTTTTTTTTAATAGCGAACGGATATGTCCAACTAATGTCTTTGCAACGGACGCATTCGTCGTTAATGAATCGAATCGGTTTCGCGAAAGGGAAATCGTTGCTGCGCAGCCCGACCGATTTTCTGCACGATAGCCTCCCAACTTTTGTTGACGCGCATATTTACCTTAGAGTAGGTGCATCAGTGTTCGCAATCGACTATAAGAAATATTGTTAGATAATTAAATTTCTTTTCTAAATGAAGATATTATTTTCTCATACACTTATCTTCCAGGTATCGCGTGAAATTTTTCTCACGCTGCTGGGATTTGCGTCAATATCATGTCGTTTAAAATTAACAATGAGGGAAGAATGTTGAAACAACGAAATATCACCAGTGAATAGCATTCCAATAGATGACAGCTTTAATTTACAATTAGATGATAATTACATTACGATAACTATATTAATTATCCCGTAGCTTCAGAAAATATATTTATCTCTTAACGCGATCTCTTAGAAACCGAACAAATACATTGGGCATTTATTGGTCAGCAATCAATCACTGGTGCATCTATCCTAAAGCGATTATCCGAAAGAAATCTCTCTTACGAGATACCCTCCGTTAAAACGGGACGGACAGCACCAGCGAAAGCTCTTAGATCCTAAGGCATCTCTAGCGTACTCCCTGCTTACGACTGTAAATACGGCGTTACGTAAGAGACTAGTGTGATATATACGCATCGAAATAAAGAAAGAGTCGGACGGTAGACGCCAAGGCGTTGTGTGAGAACTCATTTCATAAGTCCCTGAGAGTCGGCGTTACCGGGAAAGAATAGTAACGCGTCTACTGCCGGTAATTAGCGTCGCGCGTTGCGACATTCCTGCCCGGTCGGGTCTTACGCGGCAAACTTTACGCGCGAATATGCGGCCGAGGGCGTAGATCATGAGATCTCGCGCCGTGATTTCCACGCATACGGGGAGCCCGCCTCGTTTGTCTGCGAGAGCGAATTTCTTTGTCGAAAAAAGCATTACGCGCGCGACACACGACGCAAATATCTCACGCGTGTATATCCGAACGGCACGTGAGAAGCGGAACAATCACCGCTCGGTGAACGTTCGATTTGCACAAGTGACGACGCAAAAGGCGAATCAATTGGATGTTAAAAACATATAAATGGGAAACGAGCTCATTAACAGCATGCGAATTATTGATTCATCAGACGAAGGGAATTAAAGTAATAAATTCACTTCGTCTCTGATGAATCAATAATTCGCGTGATATTAATGAGCACGACAAAGTGAATTAAATAATTTACTTTGATAACCATTGCTGATTATCGCTGATTTATTGAACGCGAATAATTATATTGACATTGCATCTCAGAAAAGAAAGTTAAACAAGCTTATTCCAAGATTTTCCAAGTTTTGTTTATATAAAGTATAAAAGTATTATACGTGTTTCAGTTACTGATAAGTGAAGCGAAACACGTATGAACGAATAATTTCAATGCAAATATTAACTCAACGCTCTGCTAGAGAATGTCGATCGAACGAGTTCCGGCGTGAAAAAAATAACGCGATGCGAAATATTTCAATTCACGGCGAACGTTAGGCAATTTTCCGCGGGTATCTAAAGAGTGTCCTGATTTTTCCGCGCGCGCGCCGGATATGCACGCCTGCATTTGAAAGGCTGTCGTTAGGACGCGGGGACACTCGGGGACACTTACCAGCACGGACAGTGGTCTTGCACATGGTCTTCCGGTATTCCGTGCATGCACCAGCTACAATGGCGTAGGTGCATTTTCGCGATAGGATCAGCACCGATAGGGAATCCGCGGGCTTACTAGATCATCTAATTAGAGCGCCGGTTTGTCTTTCACTCTTTCTCCGGGGATAGAAAGTCGTCGGGGAGGGTGCACGGTGTCTCACAGAAACGCGCGCGTAATGCATAGATTTGTATGCAACGAGCTAGGAAATAACGCGAGCGGAGAAAATCGCAACGAGGTATCCCGATGAAGCGAAGCCGCCTCAACAATAGTCGAAAGCGAGTAATCCGAGAGACAAAAGAGACGCTTACCTGACATTTGTCCTGTCATGTCCCTCAAATTTCCAACGCGCGTCGACATTTTTATCAGCTATCAACTTTCTACGAGTCGAATTATATCAGTCGGTGGATCTGCTTGTTATTATTCACGGCATTGTTTCGCAACGATTTTATCTCGAGCAGCTCCATCAGCAGTGTTCAAATTGCGTTTCGCGTTATTCAACGACAACTCGTAATGGCAATATTATTTTCTACGAAAAATAAATCCCGATAAAAAATTAGATATTCAGTTTTTTAAATATTTTTCGTTGTAATATTCTTCGAGGACAATTCCTCTTGATCGTATAAACTTTTATTCCTATTCTTAAAACCTTATATACAATTCATCGTCGACGTTCATGTTAATCGTACTATATCTTTGCGATATATTCACTGTACATCGTTTTTTTATCGCTGTAATCTGGGGGATGAGGGAAGGGGGAATAGAATATCCTTGGCGCAAGATGAGGCATGAAAATAGCATAGAGAATTGGCACGAGGGCGGTCGCAATTTAATTGGAGGCCACCGAGATCTTCGAGTGAATGGACGAGGAGCGAGGCACGTTCTTCAAGCTCTCGACGTCGTCCTCGAGGTTATAGGGCACGAAGGGCTCGGTCTGCACGCCCACGTCCTCATGATCGAGCTCTAATGCGTCCTGCTCGTAGATTACGTCGTGACTACGCGGTCTCGCCACGGATGGGATCCACGGTTGCGGAACGCCTTTGCCGAGCGCAAGAAAAACCGCAGCGGTCGTCAGCAGGACGACAGAGGCAACGCCGAACACCAACCGCCAAGAGCCAGCGATCTGAAACGCACGACGTATCGCAAACATGAATGTCGACTGAATAAACACAGGATTAGAAAATAAATAAAAAAATACTTTTGCCAATAATATCGTGGGCAATTACAATTGGAGAGGGAGGATGTTATGTATTGCATAAAATTTGATACGTAATCTCGATTTCCAAATTTCATTTGAGAAATGTAGAAGTAAAATTATGCACTTTCCAACATTTATGTTAAAATTAAAAAAATTTTTATATACAATAAAGAAATATCTAGATAAAGAATTAAAAAAATTTGTTGATACTCTTTTCTTATTTCAGAATTAAAAATGTTACGCGCTCTTATTCGAAAATGACATGCAAGGCACGAAATAATTAACAATTATTTAAGTGAAAAGCAACGGGAGGCGACTTGTGCGAAACGTAGAAAGTAAAAGGAAAGACTCGTCGCTAAATTCTCGTTACGCAATCCGACGTCCGTTTAGCGTTCGCGGGCGTACGAGGCTATTTAATGCGTTACGTTTGCGCGGGCGGATAACGCGCGTGCCCGTGTCCGGCATAGTATAAATGTATATAGTAATTCGACTTACGGAGCCATGGAGAGCCTGGGTGACGAAGTAATTGGCGGCCAGCAGTCCCGCGGCGCCCAGCGTGGAGCAGAGAGCGCACGCGGCCGCGGCGCACGCCGGCGATTCCGCGGGTGCGAGATCGGCTATGGCCGCGAGGGCACCGGCCGGTGCGGTGCCGGAAACGAGGAGGGCTGCTATCCCCAGCCAGGCAGCACCCAGGGCCTGGCAGCCGGCATAACCGGCGACGAAGAGGAGGGCCGCGGGGATGAAGTGCGCTGATCGTATTTAATTCAATATTATCGAGAGTACTAAATAAAAAATGAAGTCAGAAAGACGTCGGGAAAATATTCTCGCTGTGTTACGTGGGATAAAGCCATTAAGCTTGTTACTCAACACGTTTGAGACTTTCCATCTTCAATTATCGTAATGAGATCTCGTAAGCTATTACCCTTAGGGCAAGGTAACACCAACAATCAATTCGCCTCGCAGCGTGAAATGAGTAATCTATAACGCACCGACGCACAGAGTTTTCTATAGTTGTAACAACATTGTTATCCATCTATTGAATTTCCGTAGATTTTTACGTTACACATTTCCTTAAAATTCAAAATTTTATTGAGTATTTGTAAAAAATAAGAAACAAAAATTGTCTCCTTTTGTATAAATTAATTCAACCATCAAGATATTATAAAATGATCAAAATTCTTGCACGCGTTCCACAATGTTGTAAACATAATGCCGTTTACGGAGATACACATAACGTACCTGTATAGACGACCAACTTTCTCGCCGTGGTCGTGGAAACTATTTTAGATTCGCGGACGTGATCTACGAGGAGACCGCAGGTCAGCGCAGCCATGAAGTGACCGATGTGAGGTAACGTGGTCAGCACGGAGTCCTGAATTGAATCACAATTTAGTAAAGGGGTGAAACATACGAGCTCGCAGCTGTCCACTATAATATCGATCGACCGTAGAACCCTAACTGAATATTTTATGTCGTAATATTATGTCATCATATTAAGTTTATGCCTCTTTCCTTTTTTCGTCTTATATCTTTTTTTCATTCTGATACTTTGACACGTTTTTTTACTTTGATATTTGTGGTAAATTTTTTACAGTATTTAAAACAAAAGTAAAACAAAACAATAAGAAATTTCAGCCAACTTACGTTGGCTGTAGAAAACCCATAGATGAGCTTCAGGTACTTCGTCATGCCAAGCGCGAGCGTTGCGTCGCCCCATTGATTGCCCATCGTCGCCACTGCGGACGCCCAGACGGGTACGGATCTCAACAGCTTTCCCCATGGTATCACAGCCGCCTGTGATAATTACTAACTTCGTATTTATATTAAAAAAAACTGCCTCATAAACTAAGTATACATGCGGTAAACCTTAAGTCCATGTTACAGTTGCATGACAGGTTTGTCGCAACTACTAATTAGTGAATGGAAAATTCCTAGAGACCACATGGAAACCTTCACGTAGTCTCTCATCAGACTACTAATTAGCGCGTCCATCTATTTTGATAAACTTCCGAGAGTGTAGCGGGTATTCGCTAAATAGATCGGAAGTATCGCTTACAGTTGTATCGTGTTGATAATTCTTCGGTGTGTCCTTAACGAAACGGCCGAAGGCGAAGTACCAGCATAGTGCCAAAAGAACCAGACCGTAGCACAAAGAATCGCGGCCGAACGTTCGCACCACCGCGGTGCCCAGCCATCCGGTGAGACAGTAACCTACGCTGACGGCTTAAAGCATGGGAATTAGGATTAATCGAGCAACTTGGAGCCACATAGCGTTACATAGCGCTCGATGGGGCATTTTAAAAGATATCCTAGAGTATATTATCGTAGGGTATATTACCAAGTATGCTTTTACTACAAAATAATGAATGGCTCGGGGAATTCATTGCTCTCGTTAACTCTTTACTTTTCATTTAAGCGGCCGCAATCGCCGACATACCTGCGTAACAACTGAAGTACCAGCTTCTGTGATTACTTTTAAACCAGGTCATAGCGAACATGTGAGCAGCGGGCATGGTTGCTCCCTGTAAAAGAGGATGTCGCAATGATCCTCGCGCGAATGTTTTATGTAGCGCCGTGTTTTACGACGCTACGCAAAATCGAGTTCTATGTTTTGTTGCAAAGCGTCTGCAGACGGCGAGATAAATTCTACGCGCCGACTTACGGTGCATAATCCTTGAAACAACCGAAGCGCGACGTGCGACGGTCCACGCCAGGCTGCAGGTACTAATAGAGACGCTAAGCAGGCGCTAAGAACCGCACGTGAGAAGACCATGGAGGGCCCGGATCGGCCCCACACCAGGCAACCTCCCAGGATCGGACCGGCGACTTGTCCCCATAAGAACGCCTCGCGCATAATCGATTCCGCTCGCTCCTCCTGTGGCAGCTGTCGTTCATAACACGAATCATAAATGTCATTCTACAATTGCAGCACTGCAAAACATTACTGTTCTCCAGGGTTATATGTGCATTTCTTGGAAAGACTCGACAATTCAAATTCATGCAAAACAAAGCTGTCACATCAGCGTTAATCCCGCTTAGTTTGATTTCATATTCGCGAACAAAAATTTGTAAAACAAATAAAAGTTGGAGGAGAAACATATGAAACATTTGGCAATGTGTTTAAATGTATGTATACCTCCATGAATATAATTTCGAAGTCCTCGGTGCGATTGCGGCTGGTGATATTGACCAGCATATCGCAGTGCCACGATGTGTCGATGATGGCATGATTGTCCTTCTGATTCGCCAACAGTGCGACGGAAGAGCTGACTTCAACCGCGCCGCAAAGCGCAAATCCAACTGCGACTAACGCGGCGACGATGTGTCGCGCTCGTACAGCCGCTAACAGATAACAATATAATTACGTGATTAATATCATGCAAACATAATATCATAATAATTGCAATCAACTCGATTAAATCACTAATAAAAATCGTTAAAAATTTGCAACAATAGTTTATCATACCATTGATAAAGATCATTGAATAAAGATCATTAAAAGATTATTTAATTACAATCGTGTCGTTAATAAAAGTTTTTAGACGCAAAAATTTTAGTAACATCGAATTGTTAGTAAAAATCAGAAAAAAATAATTTTTTATTTACTCCGAAATTATTTTAAAAAAGAATTATTAAAAAGAACCGTAGGTATCCCTTACTAATTAGAGAAGAGAATTAACAGTTCTCACAGAATCTCTATTATTCTCAGCAAATTAGAGGTACAATAGTAACAAAAGAAATTTTCGCGTACGTATGTACCATACATTTATTATCGTAGTCTCTAAACATGCGAGCACACGGCAATGTTTGATTTTGATAACTTACTCAAACGGCTGGCACGATAGTATCTACGTACAAATTCTAAATTTAAAAGATATTTGTGTCGATTTTTACCGTCTAAAAATAATATTTGTGTTAAAATGTACATTACAAAATACAATCGACATTAGTTATAATATTTCGATAATATTAAACTATAAGTCAAAATATTTAACCATAAAACGCAGCTCTCAAAAATACCTGAATATCAAAAGAATTCTTCCTCTATTAATTTGTTAAAGTAATTGTAATCATATTATTCTAAATATTATCTTAAGTAGTATAATGATAGTATCAATGAAGCCATTTAAAGTTTGGCTACGCGACAGCGTGAAATAAAATTAGATCTCGCGTGCGCGATGTGAGAAATAAAATTAGTTGCAGTGATTAGAATTTTAACGAACCTCGAACCTCTTGCGCAGCAAGCTTTAGTTGACAACTGCCACGTTTAACGAACTGCACGCTACCTCTCTTGACGAAGTCTGCCATCTCACAGAACTCAAAAATAATGAAATCGACCGCGGCATCTCGCTCTTATCACGCCCGGTGAGATTCTTCGCGCACTATCTCTCCACTACTCCGAGTATATTGCAGGCGACCTCGACTTTGGCTCGGCAATGATGCAACGCAAATAGCTGACTTTTCGACAAGACAATGAACGCGTAACGCTATTAATTCCTTCAGTAATGTGAACCGGAAAAATAATTATCTCAGTATTCTCTCTGATCTTGACATCAGTTTGTCAAATTATAGATAAGGGTTGCCAATAACAAGTATAGAATTCTAACGCCAAACGTATGATTTTCATCCGAATGTAATCGTGATTCTAAGATTTCCTTTTCTTTAATATGAAAAAATTAGTTCTACATTAATCGAAGAATCTGACCAAGTATCATACCGTCGTTTCAAGACACTCTTTATGAATAATTAATACGTTATTCGGTTTCCTTAAACTCGACAGACGTGAAGCGTGTTGCAAATCGTTTATTAATTATTTCCTGCGGTCGTACCACGATAAAATGACGCACTGAGAATTCCGGAAACCCGTTTACCGAGGGAAGTCGATTGAGGGCACACGTACCTTTGACCTCGAGTGCCGCGTGTCTCAGCTGGACGCTACCGCGTTTAAGACGAACCAGCGCTGCCATCGTCGTCAAACGAGCTCAGACATCGATTGCGTTTCCATGATGTAGGACCGATACTTCAGGCACATATCAATAGGCAATAGGAAATCCGTTGATCTTTCCGGTCACTTTTCCATCGCGCGATACGAGATTAGCGAGACGCGGCAGCGGCGGCGAGTTACGCGAGCCATACTGGTCATCTGGCCGGTGCGAGTGAATGAACATCTCCGTTAACGAGACTTGATACAATAAGTACCTATGCCGGGTCAGCCTTGAAGCACCGCGCGCGAGGCCCCGAGGCCCGCCTCGTAATATTTTCCCAACGCCGGAGCCGCCGAGCGATATATCGAATCTCATCACCGATAAAGATCTTCAAACGCAGCGGCTGGTTTTTTCCTGGCCTTATCACAACGCTCGCGACGCGTGGTGTAGTAAAAAATATTATTGAGTTTAATTAATGCAGCATTATTATACACAAGCGCTAGTGCGGTGTCTATAAAAGCATTTCTGGATCATTGATATAAGTTTAAAAATTGTTGCAATGTTCACATCCTTAATCCTGATATTCACGAAAATATAATAATATTCCGCAATCTTAATTTGATAAATACATCAAAACTGCTTTATATTTTTTCGAGAGCGATTAATAAGAAAAAAAACATTTTTAAGCGTTTTTATTAGATGAACACAAAAAATGTGATGTACAATCTTTCCTATTTTCAAGGTATAAGAATTCAAGCTACCTCCTGCACATCACATGCACAGTGTAATTAGTGTAATAAATTATTAATGTGAAAGACTATATCAGCAACTGACAATGAAGGAAACCTCGTTAATAGTTTCAGCCGCGAATGGTTCTTTGTGAATCTGAAACACTGTTCATTCAATGATAATGTTTCAGAACATCAAATAATTCACCGTCTGTCGTTCACGGATGTAGTTCTATGTTACCAACGACCAGTCAGCATGGACTGACTATCGTTCAAGCAAACCTGGGCACGTATTGCGGAACTTTTCGGAATTGATTCCGATTGGAATTGTATAGCTCTTTCCTAGATTTCTATCGTGTCTTCTAGACTCCAGAGAAAACGAAATAATTCTAATCTTCGGAATCTATTCCGAAAAGTTCTATAATTTGTGTCCTGGGACATCAAGTCCCAGCAAGTCGCGCAGCAAATGATTGATGGGTGTAAACCTAGAGACACATTATTCAATAATAATGTTTCAGAATGTTGAACGATCCAGCATCCGTCGTTCACGGACGAGATTCTATGTTACCAACAACCAATGAGCATTGGCAGGCTATTGTTCAAACGGGCCCGGAGCCTGTTACGGGTTGATCTTGTCCCAGGCCCCAGCAGGTCGCGCGGCAGGTGGTTGGGCCCCTTCTCCAGCGCCTGCCACCAGCAGGGACTACGGGGGACCAGCGGGATGCCACCTGCGCGACGATTGGTCAGTTTGCAGGCAGGTCAAAACGGCAACACATCGCTCGATCGGCGTTCGCCACACTTATCTGCCGCTTCGAAGCGGAGCGCGCGGTCCCCGCGGCCTCGCATTTTTCGTGTCTTATCCGCGGCGATTGGCACATGTACGAAAGACCGTTCATCACAGTGCGTAATCCCGAGAAATAGGAGAGCACCGGCGACGCGGCGGCCCGGAGAAGATCGAGTCAGGATCTGTGTGTTGCGAATTTCGGAGTCGCGCCGAGGAGTTGATGTTCAAACGAACGCAGGACGATGCGGCGCGCAGGGCACCCGGGTGTTTTGACATTTGCGACGTATAGTTATATTTTATTACAGTGATATCGACGAGAGTGCTCTAGGATACCCGCGAGCGACAGTGGTCGGTGACGGTGAATGACGAGGGAGGCATTGTCGGAGCAGAGCGCGGCACAAACAAGCTACGAGGTGAGTGGACTCCGTTTTGGTTGCGTTTTGACCGTTTGTTCTAAGAGGTTAAGTTGGGTGCCCTGCTGGGGTCCCGCGATACCACCTCCCCCAATCCCCGCCCGCCTCCTCCCCAGCCCCCCAGTCCCCCCAGCCGCGAATGGTCCGACACGGACAATACGGCCCTCCGGAGAGACCAGCGAAGGGCACCCGGGTCCATTCCGACCGAAAGGTCCTTTGAACGGTCGGAATGCGTGTGCCGGCGCATCTCCTTCGTCCCCGCTCCTTCTTCTGCTCATCCGGATCCTTCTTTATTTCGTATTCCCGTCCATTTCACTCTCACTCCGTCGCGTCGCTCTGTGATTCTCTTGAATTTTCGACTCTTTCGATCTATTTTCGAACTAGTCTTGGTTGCTAAACGCACGAAGAGTTACGTCAATTTTTAATAAGCGTCTCCTCATTCATTGTTTCACCCATATTTCCCTGTGTATCGCGAAAATTATTCCCACAGATATCTTTAGAATTACTCTCATCATTACCGTCTTCGCTATCGCTACAATTCACTTGCCCTGATAATTAGTAGATATTATTATTTATTTTCGTCTCGCTTTATCTTCCATACTTATCGCAAGTAATTATTGCGATACGAGTAATTATTATGACGCAGTACGCTAATGTATTTTATTAATAGCTCGCGTCAAAGAGTATCAACCTGTATATCGAACCATAATAAAAAATTTCCCTTTTCCCTATTCCAATTCCTGTCCCTTTCCTCTTCCCTTCTCTCCCCCCCACGACCTTTCCTTTGGAATGTGCTTCTCGAGGGCTCAGGCATATTTCTGATCGTAGAATCATCCACAACAGGTCCCTGTCTAGAGTTTCGAGCTCCCACTTCTGCCCGCTAGAAATACGAGCGATTTCATACTCGTGCCGTGCCGGTTTTCGACTTTCAGAATCAACGGTCCCGATAACGATTACAAAAATCAAACAAGTTTGTCGCCACGAGTGAACGCGTCGAGCTAATTAATATAATTCTGGAATAATTTACGAGCTTCCCTCGCTGGTTCTTGCGCTGGTTTAAATCGGATTTATAAGTACTGTTATGTCTTGCTCAGGTGAACGTATTCGTATGATAATCCTTAAAACTTGCCATTCATCGAAATGAGTTTAACAGTATCAAGTCATCTTCCTATCCTCGCGCGCGCGGCGGGGATAGGAAGATGACTTGATACTGTTAACACTGACAATGAGAGAAAAACGGAATAATTTAAAACTAATGTGATGATATTTTCAAGACGCGATAGTATATCGCAGGAATAAATTTATTTCTCGGTGTTACGATCTTATTATGTTAATAAAACATCGACGACAAATTCAAAACGGTGTTAATGAATGCAATTAATATGCTATAAATGTCGACTCAATGTCGACTAATTCTAAATTACTATATTTTATTTTCGTGCATATATATTTGATAATATAATAAATATCTTTTTTGCTTTTCTTTTAATATTTATAATCTCTTCTTCGATAACATAAATATAATCCGCAATATAAATATAAATTTAAACATTTAAATTTTATATTTTAATATCTCAAATTCTTATCCGCTCATCTGTCTCACCTACTCGTGTCAGTTTTGACTGTGCAACAGTGAATGAAAAAATTAAATTAAATATTCTTAATTTTTCGCGACGTTCTGCCGCAGTATAGATGCTCACGAAGATTATTGTTTCGCTTATACCCACACGAATGCCTAAATCTACGCGACGGATCCGGGCGAGGAAACCGGAGCAGTTTCGGCGCGCGGCACCTTTTCGCGCGTATACGTACGTACGTGCCGTTGTCGTACGTGCTTTGAAAATCACGCACAAATACCGTTGCATTAAGGTCGTTCACTTATCTACCTACCGACTGTGATTCAGCACAAGAGTAGCTACCGGTATTTTACGCGACACAAATCGCGGAAGAAAATGAATACGTGTCTTGTGTCTTTCCGACGGGTGTCGTATTACGACGCTGCTCCTGCACGCCCGATGACGATTTCGGTCGAAGCTCGCGTGCGACGATTTTGAGAAGCTAAAACTTCCAAGTACTGAAGCGGACTCCTGCTAAAAGTCCGACACGATCTGGCAATAATAATCTTTACCTGACATCTCGATTCGATTGTTAACCGTCACGTTCTGGGCGCGTATACGTGCTTCAATGAGATACCATTGCCATCAGTTATTCGATTTGAACGTAAACGTTTGGAAAATCGTGTCATTGTGCATCCAGCGTGAGCCAGGTTTTCTTCAGAAAAAAGTTGTGACCCAAATAATACTTCTGACAATACTTGCCTTTGCTGCCTGAAATAATAGTACACCTCTAACGGAAAAAGAAATCAACTCTATCCTAGAATGCTGAGAAATGTGAAGCAGTCTTAGAAACAATACGGTTATGATTCTGTTATAATAAAATTAATAATATCGATTCGATTGTCAACTCTAATGTCAAGGTTTCCACAGATAATTTAATTATGCGTGTGTAAAAATTACGAGCAATTCATTACGAGAATTACATAATTACGACACTACATTCTGGACAATGTCGCGGAAATTTAATGAAAAGATCACCATTCCGTTCACGTTGAAATTACGCGTTGCACGGAAAATTATATAAGTCCGATGAACGGTTTAAAGAACAATAAGTATTGCAGCTATCGTTCCCTGAATACGTATTTATCGGTTACGTACGAAAATGTCAGAAGACGCGACCTTGCACGTGCACAGACTGTGCGCTTGTCACGTAAATGAATTCCGCATAGTTTTAATCGCCCGGCATCGAGCCGAAGTGAAACGCGCTCTCCCGCAAGTTAGCATTATTCGCAGGTGTAAATCACGTCACACCCCAAATCGCTCGCACGTGATACCACGAGATCCAATTAACCACGCTGGCGACTGCAACCAATGCAACTGATAATCTTTATTAGGAAATCCATTATGGAGCGGGACGCGCGGCGCGCGCGAGGAAGCAGGAGAAGAAGGACACGGCGGCGCAAAAGTGAAACTAGATTTTCTCCGATGCCTATTCATGCAATTCGTGAAGGCGCGCGCTTCACGGTTCATTTGCGAGTCTCTTCTAATTGCTCCAAAATTCCGCTCCTCTTCGCCAGTCGCCGCGAAGCTTGAAAAACGGCGAGGAAATTAAGGATTCCGGACTACTTTCTTCTCGCCGAAACTGAGAAAGTAGGGTCACGGTGTCGGGGCTCCTCGAGGCGTTTATTACGTGTAATTGTTTTGAGGAAATCGCGCGTCTTGTGACGTGACGTGACACATTAGAATTATCTTCTGCATGTACATTATTTTCAAGAGAAGCGCACTTTCTCAAACCGATACTTCAATAAAATAAACAATTTCTTTATTTATGGAGTAAGAGATGTATGTAGGTCTCGAGATAAATTCCCTTCCAGTCTTCTGGGAAAGAAGAAAAGAAAAAAAAACTATAATACGGAAATTAAAATCCGAATTTCTGGGATCTATAGACGCACGCATTTCACGTAACAGTATATTTAAACAGTAGATAGTAAGATAGCAAATTTTTGATATTACGAGAGTGATGAGAGTCATCATCGATCATTACCCTGGAGGCGAGTGTAACGTAACACATCATACCTAAGTCATACGATTAACAAAACCCGACCGCGTTCGTACCTTTCTCAACCGTTCGCCAGTATTCCGCGGAAGTAGATCGAGATACAGGGTTGGGAAGTAACTAGTTACTTGTAACTAGTTACCGTTACAAGTTACTTTTTTTGGTAACTTACTGGTAACTGCGTTACATTTTTCTTTTGGTAACTGTAACGGTAACTTAGTTACATTTTTTCGGTAACTGTAACTAATTTAAGTTACTTTAATACAGTTACTTTTATAGTTAAGGTAAGTTTACACACGCAATGATTAGTGGCGCCAACTGACTGGCATTCATTGGCGCCAAAAACGAATTTGTTTAATAACAAACGATTTCAAGAATAGGTACCCAGACCTATAAGAATAGGTACTCTGATCTATAGTGTATGTGTCGGATTTATTTATCTCATCTTGGAATGGTGGAAAGGTATAAGGTATAAGGTCGCACTCAGAGGTGTAACTGATTGTGAGTACAATCTACGAAGAGAAATTTCCCACACAAGGTATAAGCTATACTATACCGATTGCTGTGTGGCGCAAGGGGAGTTATGTCACACACGGTGCCTCCCGGATATCGTGTGCCCTTCGGGAATACGAACCAAATTCCAGGCATTCGCGACTCTATCCGGATGAAATCGTGCGATCGCGGTATTTGTGGGACGAAAAATAAAATTTAGTTCCATTTTGTTCCAGAAATAACAATAAAGGCCCGCGCACAATGAAAAATATAAGGAACAAAGAAGATATTAGCGATTAGAAATAAGAAATCAGGAATAAAGCTGGTGTAGTATTAATACACGGCTTCCAATAAAATCTATTGCTTGTGTTATTCATTGTTTCTGTTGCCTGTATTTTTCATCGTGCATCCAACTTTATTCTTGATTTTTTAGTCCTAATCGCTAATATCTGTTCCTTGTTTTTTATATTTTTTATTGTGCGGAGGCCTTAACAATTGAAATAATTCAAACAAAGTCCTCCAAGATATATGGTTTTCTTAGGGAGCGAACGACTAGAGGAGTCCCCAGTTGCGGAATCGGGTCTAACTAAAACTCGAGTTCGCTATAGCAGCACTGCCAGACGTTGTTATAAAAAGCAGCTGCAGAGAGAAGGACAGGCTGAAAAAGCCCAAAGTCCTACTCTTCGGATACAAAGGACAAAGAGAGAAAGATATGGTCAACATGTGACACGTAAAAGCGTGTCTTTTTTTAAGCCACAATATTTCCAATCTGTCGGACAGTCACCCAGGCAAAAAGCCCAAGGTCACTGATCGAAGATTATGTTCTTGCGCCCAAGCGATTAAGATAAGAGCATAATCAGGATAGCCTTCTAGAACGAGGGCTAGATGTCGGTGAAGTGGGTGTGATCAGAAAGCTGATCAGCAGATCCTTGAACTTCGAGAGTGCGCTAGTTCCCACCTTTATGAGAAATTCCTGAGAAAGAAATAGCGTAATCATCTTTATATAAATGCGCCAATGAACAATCAGCGGATTAGCTAAAAAGCCTATTCACCGAGATCAAAATCAGGGATATTCCTTTCGATGCATTGCCAGCCGATGAGCTACTCAAACACCATTGGTACATGTGGAAGAGCCTGATTTGTCGGTTGAGGAGACCGACAGATCTCCTGTCGAAGAAAAATAATAATCTTTCTTCGACAGACAAAACACAGGTCTGGTAGCCAAGTCGTCATAAGGGAGAGTGAAAGCAGGGATGTCAAGTGCGTCTATGTCGCTGCCTTGATCAGCGGTTTCTCCCAGGAAGCCTAAAAAACTGTTTCAAAAGGTAAAAGTGATCTAATAGCTCGCTCCACCATGCCAGGAGAATGTCTTATTTGCGTTGCTGCATCCATAATTCTGTTCACAAGTTCATCCCTATTGCGAGATTGTTCTGTATAAACTACTGACTTCATATGCCCCCAAAAAAAGTAGTCTAAGGATTTGAAAATGTTTCAAATATTCATATTAACTTTCAATAGTTGTGGTTCTGTTAGGAATATTTACGGAGATATGTTTAATGTTTATTAAACAATTTCAACTCTAAATGACTTCAATAACACACCCGGACCTCGAGTCATAGGACTCATAGGACACCCTGTATAATATGTATATATAATATTATAATATACATATATGTATATAATTTTAGTTTCATATATAATACATTTTATTTAAGAATTTTAAGTTTAAAATTATCATGTTAAAATTAAACTTTTTATTCTGTAATCTTGTTTTAACATTTTAAAAAAGTAACTGAAAAAGTAACTAATAGTTACTTTTTAAGTAACTGTAACTGTAACGAGTTACTTTTGAGAATCAGTAACTAGTAACTGTAACTAATTACTTTTTTGACTCGGTAACGATAACTGTAACTAGTTATTTTTAAAAAGTAACTTTCCCAACCCTGTCGAGATATCTGTGCGCCACGCTATCGTCCGCATTATAATTCTTACGATGCGAGAGAGGAGCAGGATAAAACAAGCGTAGCGCGTAGCGCCAAATCAGGGCGCGCGCGCGCGGAAAGTCGTTACGAGAAATCGACGACTACCGTAATGAGGCCATTGCCGGTGTATTTTCTCAATTACATAGGAAATTACCCCCGCGCGTCCACGACTACTCTTCTCTCGACATCATTTTTTTCTCATGCGCGCGCGAGGAAATGCCGCGTCGTTACGATACGCAAAAAGACAACTTTTGTAAAAAGTACTTTTGTAAAACGATACCCGGCAAATGATTTGATAGACGGGCACAATCCTGTGCACAATTTTTGCGATTCGCGAATTCGCCGTACCACTATGCAGATATATAAGTTGCACTTTGCGCTCTCTCTGTCGCAAAAATTCTAATGTGTCATTCAATTGTGACCGATTAATAATAAATAATGAGTGCGATGTTACGCAGGCTCCTTTCTCCTTCTCAATCAGCGTCTTTTCATTCGCGGCACGTGTTCGGATAAGGAATCTGTCGAGATCTGCGCGAATACGCCAGTACGACTTCGATCATCGACCTGCATATTCTCGACTCGAATTAGAACGTATAGTCTTTTATTACGTAAATGAAAATTGAATCTGGAATTAAACGTAAACCGAAGAATTACACGGCGAAAGAAACAATTAGGGCTCGATCTAACATTTCCTGCAAAAAATTTGATGACGTGTCAGACATTTCGATTTGTACTATATAGTTCGCTACTTTATTCTGTAGATCTCCAGAATAAAATATATTCAAAGGCATTTATAAATTCCATATTTAGAATTCCTCTTCTACGCTGCCGTATTATAGGTATGTGCCATGCAATTGACGTAGACGTGTATATAGAACACATTTTGCATGTATATAATGCTCTTATTACACTGAATAATTCAATGACGTAATGCGGCGTCGTATATTCCCGAGCAAAGTTATTTTCTGCGTTACGCACGAACATTCGAACATTGTAAATAATCAAAAGTAAATATGCAAATTGTTCTTCGCAAGATAATAACAAGATGCTAACGAAATGTCCTTATTTTAATTTAAAATATTCGTGCTTCACCAACGCGCGACGTTACGCAAGTACTTGCAAATTATATTTGTTATTATACTACAATCAGTTTGTATACTACATTTGTATAAACTGCCGTTTGCCGTTGTTTGATAATGATTCAGAAATATTTTGTTATTCCAATTGCGAAGGACAAAGGAGACGTTACGGTGAGCTCATCCTGTATTATTGTTATTCGTACTTTGACAGCACTGTTAGTATTCTTCAGCATACATTCACAGACGTCACTGGTTTTGAATGCAATCGATATCGCGCGCATTTAGCGAATGTAAATTGCTTCGATTTACGCAGTCAATTACCAAGGCTTTTTGAGGTAACAAAAATTATTAATACTGAGCGCTTTAACATGCGTATAGAAATGTGAACCGACAATCTAACGTGGTATCATTACATGGTTAATGTGGCAGGGAAATGAAAATCACGACCATCCAAAGTAATATTTACTGCTTTAAATTACTAAATTATCATAATTGCTTCTGTAACTGTATGCTTTGTATCTGACTATATATTTTATTGCTAAAATAAAACAATTTAAAATAATTTATAATTTATAATTTTGCATTTTTGATTCAATAATTCTCGAATAATTATCAATATTATTAATATGGTCCTATTCTATAAAAATAATATATTTATTCATGTCGAAGAGAACTGTAGCACATGTAAAAAGTTATTTAATTTAATTTATGTCGCATTTATATAATCAAAAATTAAAATTTATATTTCAAAGTGATATCAGTAATAAAAATGCACATTTAAAAACAAATGTAAATGTAACAATTGTAAATTTAAATTAAAATATAAGAATTATGTAGACCTTCAACAACTGTTCTTATAATTCAATGGTAATGAATAAATTTTCTTATTTTATTTACATTTGCATTTATATACATGGACGATATATCCGTTGACAAATCATTAATTTCAATGACAGCAATGAAATTAGTATAAAGATATGTGATGCAATGCAAACACTATTATTAATTTAAACGCATTATGAAAAAAAAATGGATTTTTCTCGTTTACTTGCGACGTGCACATTTCGGAAAATGAGTGTGCGATTATACTTATTCTGCTTATTAAGATTACTTGGTTTTACTCTCGAGCGCGCAATAAACAGAAGCAAAACGTGATTGCTTTGCTATTAGCTGCTCGCGTAGGTTTTATTACTTAATAAGAAAAATGCGGTAACGTCTTGTTAGAAAGAAGCTTTTAAAACGCTTCGACCTTACTCGTTCTTCCTTGAAATTACATTTGCAAAACATCTCCCACGCGTGTCATTCGACGATTACTTGACGACATTTGTCATCTTTACATAACGCGACAAATGTTCATTTTTGCGGGGGGGGGGGCACACTCATATATCAATTTTTAATTTTATCCTTCAGCATATACAATGAGATACGTGCAGACAAATTGCGCGTTTAAACGTGCTTTTTCGATTTTTCCGCTGGACAAGTGTTTCCGATACGGCACCATCGTATATCGCGATTTCTCTGACTTCTCACGGTCACTCGCTAGTTTCTCCTCGTAGAACCTCTTTTCGCAAGGTCAAAGGACAGTGGTGTCTTACTTAATGATCCTATTCGTTTCACTTATATCTGTCCTGGATTCGAAACATCCTTAGGCAGCGAAAACTTATCTTCGACTGATACCATAATTATCGCTTCGACAAATTGCTGAGTTCATAAAATAAATAAGGTTTATTATAGCATAGAACGCATAGTAAGAAACATTGAGAGAATAAATTTTATGCTAAATACGGATAATTTATATCTGATTTAGAAAAATGAAATGCTAACGTAAAAATATTAATTATATTGAATCAAGATTTAATTCTGCCTAATAAAAAGATAGTGATACATTGTTTTATATTAAAACTACGATTACACGTCATAGCCTTATTTCATCCTGCTCAAGTTCATTCTGAACTGAATAAATTGCAATGCACCAACAAAAACATGAGAAGATCTTCACACTACATCTATCATCATCGTCCTTAATAAAGACGCGAAACTAATTGTACAGAGATTTATTCTAATAACAGTCGCGCAGCCTTCTGCCTCAGCTCTCTCAGCATGTTCCTAAGCCCTTCGGTGTCCCGCTGTTAATGCACAACTTTTTCCACGGGATCTAATACTAGCAAATTCACCGCGACGGCGCTCATCAAGCACAGTCACGGCCACGTGGTGGTTTCCCCGCAGGAAGCCTCGTCCTCCAAGGTCAGGGGACAGAACTCTTCCGCGGTAACCCTATCCAAGTCGCCGATATCCGCCTTGGGCTTGAATGGCAATTCCGATACGAGAACTCCTTCTTTACGGACCCTCTGATCCTTCTCCTCTTCTTCGAACTCTGAGAAATCGTCGTCTCCGTCGTCCCTGGTCCTGGTCCTCGCGGCGGCGAAATCAGCATCGGTCAGAACGAGCGTGTTCACTCTTTGATTCCTCGGCATTTTCCGCGATATCTCCTTCAAGACCTCTTTCGAAGCACGCAATAATGTCTTCTTGTCGAGACGACGTCGCGGTTTCTCGACACGACGCGTGGACGCGGGGTGCGGAAGTACGCTTCCCTCGATCGGAGCCTCTTCGCGGTCAGCGTCCTGATTGATGGCACCCGGTCGCTGTTCTTTATCGCGCGTGTCGCTGCCGCTCGGAGGAGATTTCCTACTTTCCTGCGCCGATCGGGCCGCGTTCGCCGGGAATGCATTTTTCTCGGTGGTACCGGCGCCGACGGCGACCGCGATTTCGCTGGTGCCACCTGCCACCGCTTCCTCCGGTTTCTTCCCGCTCGAAACGATCGCGCGCGGACAGGCGTCTGCGATGTCGGCCGGGCATGCCGCGTTGGAACCGTAGGTCTCCACGATGCCGTGGCTCAAACTCGGCTCGGCTGGCAACGCGCTCGAAACCGGCCCCTTATCGACAGCCCCGGCGCTCTCGACGTCGGCCTTGATCCGCGGATGCTTGCGATACTCTTCCTGCAAGTAAGCGCGAAACTCGTCTTGGAAGTAACCGTCGATTATCTTCCAGACGATGGCGCTATACCAGCCCAATATGCTGACCAGAAACACCCCACGAATAACGAACGTCAACATGACAAGGCCTTGCGATTAATTATTGCGATGCGATATTACAACATTCCATGTAGAATATTGCAGTATAAATGTGTGTATCCTAAATATACTATTACTTATACAAGTTTAACGGTTAATGTGATCAAGCCGATACATTGATAGAAGATACTGATCTCTCTGTTTGAGACGTATGGTTTTGGGAGTAGTGCTTATAAATATTTTGAGTTTTCAAGGCACAAGTAAGTCAAAGTTGAGAATATAAACAAAACTAACAGTCTTCTATTATTATTGATGAGATATATGCTAAGAGTAAATTTGATATAAAATTTCAAGATCTTATACATTCTGATTTGAAGTTTTCATAATTCACTTGGCTCATAAACATTTTGATATTTATTTATTTGAAAATTATTCAATTATGTCAAAATACTTTTCATTAAATTATGTTTGCACTTCGTAATCTTTTTTTTTTTATAAATTATGCATTTTTAATTTCTTGTTACCAAATATTGATATTATAAAAGCCTTTTATAAAGTTTTTGTCAAGATAATTATAAGTGCTACTGTAAATTATCATTAAAACTGTTTTAATCTAACTGAGAATTAAAACAGTCCGATTTAATAACTGACTTATTTGTCAGTTCTGCTAAAAGTTATACGACTGATGGATCTATGAAAGTTTACTCCTTCAAAATAACGAACTTCTGGCAAGAAAAATATAGGGAAGAGTTTTATCTTATACAAATATCGCGATCTGCACAAATCTGACTTTCAAACGCTGCGCGAAAAAGAAGTTCTGTCACAGTTCTGTTTACCCATTTTGTGGCATTTGTAAGAATATTAAATCTTGTGAAAGTCGACGATTGTTTCTCGTTTATCTTCCTAGATCTATCTAGATTTAAGTACCTATTTATCTCTCACTGATTTTAAAACGCACTTACGATCAAACAATTGAATATTTTTTATATAACTTATATAATTAATAAACAACAGTTAGCGTATAATAACAATCAATAACAATTTCTGTAAAGTTAATACCTATCTATTCTCTATTATCAGTGCCCATTTGTTTTGATATTAACATCTAATTTAAGATATCACTCGAGATTAATCAATGATATGAGAGATAAAGATAAAACACTGATGTTAACAGATATGTTAAACAATTCTACAATTGAGAATAATATATTGCCATGCTTATTTAAAACAGATTAAATGACAACGTTATTTATTCTATTCCTCGATTGATATCATTTAATCATTTAATCTTCTTTTAATCTTCTTCCCCCATGAAATAGTCTTTGATGATGTAGAAGGATTCTTTCATGTTCGGCCAAGCCATAGTCACGAAGACCAAAATCGAATTCGTGATCACGAAAAGTCGCATCATTTCGGCACCGGTGCTGGATCGAAGCCAATTTCCGAAGCCTTGATTCTCGTCATCGCTCAGATTTCCCGAATCTGAGTTCTCCGTTGCTTTGCCTCCATTCTGACAACCTCCATTCTTACTATCTTTATTCTCGTTGTTCCCACGTTTCTTCATACTGATCATATAACAATCATCTGCAAGTATTGATTTCAATGCTAGATATCATAGAAATACACCTTCCGTATGCTCCACGCATTTAATTGTTATGAAAATGTATAATTTGTATAATAGACACCAGGACTTTTTACATTATGTTTTCAAAGATAAACGAATAAAATCAAGAAAAGAAATCACGTTCATAAAAGTTCACGAGCTCTATGTGAAATGTAACGAATAATATTTTGAGTACTCTTGTAAAAAAATCGCAGGAATGTCAAGGATTGTCACTAGATAACGTTAACATTATACGTTTAGAATTTTAATCCAATCTAGTCCAAATCAAGGGAATTGATTACCGTGCTTCGTTCTTCCACCGTTTACCAGATCACGTAATTCCGATCATTAACTAATAATTCAAATCGCAAATTCAAAGAAAATTGTCTCGCTACGTGACGATTTACGATATAATTGGTGAATCTTTTGGGAGGAGATGAAATTAAAAGCGTCCACGTATATTCCCGAGATATACGTGTGCATGAGCACAGTTACACGTGACATTCCTGCGCGTACAAGAAACGTGCATACTCAAGAGTGGGTGTGATGACCGCGATCAACGCATCGAGTCTACGTACGCCCTCCAACCGTCGCATACAAAATTCAAATTACAGAAAAATATTCATGATTCATCACATACTCTCTCAACATAAACTATTACAATTTTTTTTAAATTACTATTAACTATAATAATTATTAATTATGTTATTTGAAAGTACAAAGAACATAATGAAAATTTGGTGTTAAAACAAAATAAAATTTGATATTTTTAAAATGAAAAATTTTCATATGTAAAACTAATAAAAAATTTTTTCCCTAAATGCCAATCTTTCAATTCTTACATAAAATGATGAATAATATGTAGTTAAACTATATGTTGTATGCGTTTATATAAAAATTGTGAGTAAGGGACACTTACAAGGTAGATCGAAAGAACTATGAAAATGTATAACTCGCGTAATATTTGCTCGCATCAATTCGTATACGCAATTCAAAGCTAATTTACTCGATGGCATCAAACAGCATTAATAACTTCTCTTTTTCACCTCGTGATCTGTGAAGCTACGAATATGGATCTTGGCAGATCAAAGTTCACGGTATTATACCAAGTAAATTGCAAGGAGGAATAGTGGAATCGTTATCGACAAAGAACAGCCTTCGCCAGAGCAGATCGTTCTCTCTACAATGCTCAATTTCCCCTCTCCCTTCCTCTCTCTCTTTCTCTCGCTCCCTCCCCCTATCTCGAGACTGTCGCCCGGTCTTTCCAGTGACTGGCTAGTTATCAAAATTTCGACTCTATTGTTCACACTTCAACGATGAATAATAGGGATACGATGGGATCACGAAAGAGAATTGATGGAAACGGGTCGGCAGAAGATTTCAAATTATGTAGTTACAAAGGTCAACGATTGATCGTAATTGAATTTGATACAGAATATTCCGCGTCGCTCTTACGATTGGTAAAAGGTGTGTCGATGGCAACAAAACAAATCGATAAATGACTGATTTGTTTCACAAACGTGCCGACACGCTTCGTCATGGGAAATAAAAGGCTGATAAAAATATATTCACTGTGAATAATGAAATAATACGAGATCATCGAAATCATTGACAACTATCTGCTAGAGATAGCATCAAAGCTACAACACATACATATTATTAAGTATACGTAATAATATCTATACATGACGGTCAAAGATGGCAGAAGAGTATTGAGAACATAGCAAGTGAAAATCGATCTAGGTCCATCAGACGTCGACCGTTGACGCTAGTTGCATAATTGCTCGTCCTATAATTAAATGGATTCAGTATATGTTACGTCACGAACGGAAAGTTGGTCACTACGAGGTAACAGAGTACAGCGTACTGTCCCCGATGCTCCACTTCGGAAGTCGCCCGTCGAGCGCTTAGTTAGAAAAGTTGCCTCGGTCGTTATTCCTATTCGAACGCGCACCCGGCCGGCTTTGTCCGTTATCGAAAACGATGCGCGCGTAAATGAGAACTAGTAGTTGATAACACGTCATCGGTATATCGACAAGGATGAAATAAAACTCCCTCGGTTCCCAGGTTCTAAATTCGCGTTCGGAACCAGTTACTGGAGAAACAATCGTACGCAATAAAGTGTGCATGGAACGCGCGACTGCGCGCAACGAAACGTGCAGATCTGCGCCACAGAGCTTGCGGTCAGCGAACGAGGAAATTACAACGACGACGCAGTTATCGGCAAAGGACAGCCCTCGGGGCTGTGCGCGATCATTTCTATGGAAAGTGATATGTCCGGCGAGTCCTCATTCTCGGCGCATCCCTTCACCGTAAGTCGAACCGTTCTATTGTGTGCGCGGAAGTTGAATCTCTCCTCCCATTGCTCTCTCTCGCGTATCTCAAACCGTAGTTGGTAAATTTCAACTATCAGCGTTGGATATGATAGTTGAACACCGTTATTACATGTTGTCTCACCGATATTGCCAAATATTTGACTAGTTACAAAGAGATGAGTTTAGGAACAGGATCATGAATATTTGTCTTGTCGACTTAAAAGTAAAATCCGATCTGTTTTTAGAATTTAACCCAATACGGTATAATGGAAAATATAATAACAAAAATTATAATTTATTTCTGGACAGAATAAATCATATTTTGAAAAATAATAAAATATATTTCTTTTCGTCCACTTGTGTCTTCGATTGTGATGTATCGACAAACTCACCATGGTACACGGTCAATCTTTCACAACGACCGTAAACGTACGTTCGAATTCAAAGTAGCCTTACGTCTTTTACGGCTTTTTACGAAGCGTGAAATCCCGGCGACGTGACGCACGCAACAACTGCCACCAACGGTTTGCCGCTTTTCGCGTTTACTTTGCCGCGAGACGTGCCGATATGAGGCTTCTAGGCTTGGTAAGCTCATTAAAAGATTTCACAGCAGTGCCGAGGGTTCTCGAAGGCTCGCACGGCGCGTGACAGAGTTCCTAAGTATCTAGTAAATTCAATACTGTTCAACCCCTTTACAACCCCTTTGTGTTATATTCTTATGTGCAATATCGCGCAATGTCAAACTAACTTTGATGTATATTACATTTCGTTACGTATATACGTGGCGACTATTAAAAAATAATTACACATTAAATATGATTCAGTTGCAGTCTTACATTCGATATTCAATTAAATATTATGATTTTATGCTAAAAAAAACGAAATTAAATAAGAATCTAATAAATTCCTTATCTATCTCATTTAAGTGTGACAATCTAAATGTACATATTTTGAACAAATATTGCGATGAGGAAGAGTTGCAACAAGATGAGATATTTACTGTTAAATTTGCAAATGTAGAACTGCAACAAAACTGCATAAATAATATAAGTTCAATATCTTTTTAACTCATTCGATTATTGATTTCTTCCAGGTATATGAACTCTATAATCGAATTTATCATGTCCCAATTTTCCTATGGCCTTCCCGTCATCGTTTATTCATATAATAGCACAATCCCGACTTGAACGATTATGTTGCGATCAAATACACAACCCGGTAATTACTATCCATGGCTTAATAAATCACCGATACATGAGGTGAAATCCGACGTTGTCATCTTCCAATCGATTAGATCACATGCAACATTTCCCATGTGGTGCTCCATGAAGAAGCTCGATTAATCACACGAGCTGTCTAAAATTTTGAATAGAAAAGATACGTGGTCCCTACTTACACTACTCAGAGAACATATATATTTATAAATAGCGCGATGTCGACTACAATGCGAATAAATATTCGCATTACCAGATATTGGTGTAAATGTAATTTCCTGTC